AAAGAAAAAATTATCCAGCCTTTGTGTTGTTTACTGAATTAGGCTATACGTTAAGCCCACCGAGGGATGCAATCATTAATTAACAACAATAGTGAACATCTACTCAGCGCTTCCTACCTGCTCTATCGCACGAAGACACTCCGGCAGCTTACCTGTGACAGGCTGCCGGAATAAACCAAGCATGTCAGCCTCAAGCTCTGATGTACCCCATATGAGTATTGCTGACCTTCATGAAAGTACCTGCTGTAAAGCAAAACCATACTACTGGGTAATTACTAGGACCAGCTCATTATACAGATGCGAAACCCAGGCCCACAGAGTGTAAGTCCAAAGGTCACACACTTACTAACAAGAGAGGACTAGAAGTCTCCCTACTTCCAGTTTGTTGTTTCATCAATTACATGACAGCTGTTTAAAAGAGAAAGACCTATTTCAATAATGCCAAATGTTTCAACATAGTTGGTAAGACAGTGAACACCTGAAATAGGTGAATGTTAGTCTAATGTGAGTTAAATATTGGGTTGGCCAAAAAGTCCATTATGTTTCTTTTCCGTGGCTCCAGCAGGGCTTAGTTGTCTTTAATTTCATTGGAAACCATTTTGTTAGACTGTACTGTGACAGCTATCACAGCAGCACCCATTTAAAAAAAGTTATTAAAATCGGTGAATTTTTGTGCAGCCATTTTAATATTGAAGGTAGAAGAAGGCATGCAACATTTTTGGCGTATTGTGCTTTATTATTTCAAGAAAGACAAAACCACAACTGAAATGAAAAAAAAGGTTTGTGCAGTGTAGGGAGAAGGTGCTGTGACTGGCTGAATGTGTCAAAAGTGGTTTGTGGCCCTGGCTGGTGTAGCTCAGTGGATTGAGCACGGGCCTGCGAACCAGACAATCGCAGTTCGATTCCCAGCCAGGGCACATGCCTGGGTTGCAGACCAGTTTCCTGCAGGCCAGTTCCCAGCAGGGGACAGACAAAAGGCAACCATACATTGATGTTTCTCTCCCTCTCTCCTTTCCTTCCCCTCTAAAGATAAATAAATAAAATATTTTTTTTAAAAAGTGGTTTGTGAAGTTTTTTGGCACTACTGACATTTTGGCCAATAATTCCTTGCTGTGAGGCTGTCTTATGTGTGGGAAGGTGTTCAGCAGCGCCCCTAGCCTCTCCCCACTGCAAGCCAATAGTGGGAGATACCTAACCTACTCAAAACATCCAAATCAAGGAAATGACAAAGGTGTCTTTTACTCTATAGGAAAAACTAAACAGACTTCATGGCCAACCCAATAGTCAGCACAAAGCAATGAAAGCCAGAGCCCACAGTGGGAAGGATGAATGGGCTCTCAGGACAGCAGTGAGTAGCATCGGTGAGGCACACTGTGTGATGACGTCTCCGGGGGGGTACAGAGTGCCGCTGCTAGCACAACCAGAACACTGTCACCAGAGCCTTTCTTACAAATGAGACACACTTCAGGGCCATACGACTTCCTTTACTGAAGCAGACATACCTTCGGAAGAGGAAAAGTGTCCTTAGTGACATTGCCCAGATACGCACAAAAGCGTGCCCGCAGAGGCCCGCTAGCGTGGTGGGCTAGAACACCACCTCCGTCTGCGAGGGCGTGGGTCCCGGTCGGAGAGCTTACAAGAACCAACCTAAATGAGTGAGATGACAGACCAACGTCTTTCTCTCTCTGCCTCACTCCTTCCTTGCTCTCTCTAAAATAGATAAATTTAAAAAAATATATAGCCCATTTGTTTCTTGAGAAATAATTTTCAAAATGTCATCCACTGACAAAAAGTGAACAACTACAGATACTACCACACAAAACTATTTTGATAAGGGAAAATTCTAAACTATAACTGTTTAAAAGCAGACAGTCACGGAACTCTACTTAGGGGCGAACTGAAGACTCCTACAAAGCTTTAATGTGTCTGATGAGAACAGAGTCAGATACTGTCTCATTGATTCCTACCTGAGAGCCTGGGTGCTGCAGTAAAAACCACGTGACCAATGCAAAGGCACCACAGACACTGCACACTAACTGCCAATTCTCAAATTAAAATACAGGATCTGGCACAAAAAACACACCCTCCCCCCTTAATTTTTCTAAAAATTTTATTTATTTATTTTTAGAGAAAGGAGGGAAACATCAATGTGTGGTTGCCTCTCATGGGCCCTGCACTGGGGACCTGGCCCACAATCCAGGCATATGCCCTGACTAGGAATTGAACCAGTGACCCTGTGGCTCATAGGCTGGAGCTCAATCCACTGAGCTACACCAGCCAGGGCAACCCCTTTCATTACAAAATCATAAGCATGCAATTCTGTAACATAGCAACATCACACTCAAGCGTACCCTATGACATTTTAGGTGCACTGTTCAGATTAAAACTATACATTATTACCCCCATATTATTACCCTACCAACCGCATTCGAGCAGGCCTGACTCCTGCCAAACCTGTCTACTCTGCCAGGGTGTCCGACCTTCTGGCATCTCTAGGCCACACTGGAGGAAGAGGTGTCTTGGGTCACACATTAAACACACAAACACCAAACAAAAACTAATGAGCAAAAAAAAGTTTTAAATAAGTGTATGATTTTGTGTTGGGCTGCATGCGGCCCATGGGCCACCCTGGGGTTGCCACTGAACACATATGACTACTGAGCAGCTGAAATGCGCTGGTCTGAACTGAGATGTGCTGTAAGAGTAAAACTTCAGCAATTCACACTGGATTCACACTGAATTTCAATGATTTAGTACAAAATAGTAAAATATCACATTAGCAAATGTGTCATATTGAGTATGTGTGAAAATGAGAGTATTTTTTTATGAGTTAATAAAAGATATTTTAAAATGCCACCTTTCATAGGTAGTTACTAGAAAACTTAAAGTTGAGTTTGTGTGGCTCACGGGACATCCCTACTGGAAGTGCTGCTCTCCGCAAACTGCGGTCCAGTTTTGCTTTGACGATTCACCAGTATGGGAAACACAAAATATACAACAAAGGAAGAAAACCTTATTTCTATCTCGCATATGCAGTTTAAAATAGTATCAAGTAAGAATCACATGTTACTTAAGCTTCTATCAAATTTACAATCAACCCTGCCAGTGTTAGCAGAGGAAGGAGTCAATCCTACAAGTAGTATTTTTAGGGGTCAAGAAGGAAACACAAAGTTAAAGGCCCCAAAGAGGGACTAAGAGAAATACCATCTGTTTCTAGAAGGCATTTTAAAACAAAAGCAGTGCACTTTAAATAGTTAACATGCTGTATGTTTTTTAAAGGCAGTATTTGATTATTTTGACTATCGTGAAGAAATTACCCAAATGCTAGATAAGCAAAGTCCTGTAAAAAGGAAGCCTGGTGAGGCGGGGACTAGAAACGCTAACCATATGGTATAGAGGTAAAATCTGAATGTACCATATGGAAAATATAACCAAGTCTTTTTTAACAGTATTCAGATTTAAACATTACATAACGATAAAAGCAGTCAGAACTTTGTAAATACCCTTCAACATTATTGCGGTATCAACATAACACATCAGTCCCCTATTACAGGTCTAACTGAAACTGCTTTCAGAATACAGCCGGTGAGACCGGGGCAGGAAGTTTCCAAGCACCTTATCTCGCAGAGGTTAAAACAGGAGTTGACACTTCAGGGCCACGCTGGCAAGAAGAAGCATCTGCGTGGCACTCGGTTTGACAGGCCCCTCGGGACACATCACCCTGTCTGACTGCAGGGACCGCCCAGGGCCACCATCACGTTTCCATCCCCACGGAACTCCTGCTGGGAGGCCTTGCCTCGTTCAAGGTCACCAGAGCTAAAAAGGAGCAGAACCAGTACTGACTCCGAATCTTCTGATGCGCATCCAGTTCCTCTCCACGACAAGAGCTCGCGGAAAACCAAGGGTCCAGGGACACAACCCAGCCTGAGGCCGAAGAAGCACCTAAGGCTCAGCCAGGTGAGACCCTAAGGGGCGGCGCACAGGATGCGCCGGAATCCGCTCGGAGGGGCGAGGAGGTCGCCCAGGGAGGAAAGGACTCGGGGGCAGCCAGCCTCAGCGTCCTCTGGCGCCGCACGGCGGAACACTGCGCCGGCAGAACGCGCTCGAGCTTCTCCCCGCAGAGTCTGCGGGTTAAAGGACGACTGCGTTGCTATTCACTACAAATGCGTCTGAGAATTTTGCTCGGTGCACCGGCTCTCGGAAGGCCCGCCCGTCCCTCCGGGCAGCACCCGCGCCGCATTTTTCCCAGGGTCCCCGCATTTAGCTCACAGAGGCCGGACCCGAACAGTATCACTCGGCGACGCGGCTTGCAGAGGACGGCGGGCGGACGGACGTCCGGGGTCTCGCGCCTGGCGGGGCGCCCGCACCCCGGGGGCCGGACAAAGGCGGCGCCGGGAGCCCCCCTCCGCCCCCGCGCACCGCAGACGCGGGACCCGGCGCTCCCGGCGGCTCTGCAGCCCCATCCCCGAGCCGGCTCACGGCAGGGCTGCGGGCTGCGGGCAGCGGCGGCTCCGGGGCGCGAACACCACACAGGGGCCCGAGCCACCGAGAGCCGGAATGCGTGCCCAGCGAACCGCAGGCGAGGGCGCCCGCGTCGCCCGCCGCGGACCCGGCGAGCACCACGCGCCCACGGCCTCGCGGCTCCCACCCGCCTGGACGGACGGAAAATGAGGGGCTCCGATTTCACGCTCTGCCGCCCCTCCCCGGCAGGAAGGGCTGCGGCCGACGGAGCGCCGGCCGGGGTCCGCGCGGCGCGGGGCGGCCCGCCCGCGTCCCCGCCCCCTCCCGGACCTCGGACCCCCGCCCCCCGCGCGACCCGCGCTGACAGCCCGGCGCGCCCCCACCTGCCCGCCCGGGGGTCGTCGGGCCCGGCGCGCCCGCCAGGCTACTTCCTTCCCCGCCCGCCCGGCCGGCCTTGCGCCGGGCCCCAGGCGGAGAGCGCGGGAGGAAGGAGGCTTGGCCGGCGGCCCGCGGAGGAAGCCGTGCCCGCCCGCACTCACCGGCATCATCGCGACGCGGGTCCGCGACGCCCTCCGCCGCCTGACAGGACGCTCGGCGCCGCGCCCGCCGCTCCGGCCGCCCTCACAGGCCGCGCGCCGCCGCCGCACTCTTGGGCCCTCAGCGGCGAGGCGGCGGCTGCGGCGGGCTGCGGAGCCTGGCCGGCCTGTCGGAGCCGACGGCGCGCTGCGTCGCTGCTCTGAGACCCACCGCCGCCGCCGCCGCCGCCTCCGCCCGAACACCTCCCGCCGCCCGCCTGCCCGCCCGCGGGCTCTCTCCTCAGCCCCTGCTGGCCCCGCCCCCAGCGCGTCGCCCCGCACGGGGCCATCCGCCCCCTCCGATTGGCCCGACGGGGTGGGGGTGGGGCGGAGTCTTTAGGCCACGCCCATCTAAGCTCGCTCTCGGCGGCGGCCAGGTGCGAGCGCGCTCGTGAGCGTCCGCGCTCCCGCGGGGGAGGGACGGAAACTTGGCCCGTGCCACGCCGGGCGTGTCGGCCTGTGGGCCGGGGTCCGCGCAGGACAGAGACCCCGGACTCTCTGAAGCCCTGAGCATGGGAAAACAGAGGCCCAGAGAGGGAAGGGCCCGGCCGGGACCCCGCAGCAAATCACACCAAGGCCAGGACTCGAACCGCGGGCTCCAAAAGGCTGGGGTGGGCGGGACCCACCGCGCCTGACAGCGGCCTGACCCCGCTTCTCCCCGCGCCGGGTGGGGCTGCGGGCGAGGGGCGTGGGTGCTCCCGGTACCGTCCGAGTTATCCGGCGCCGCAATGCTCAGGATGTACCCACGAACGCGCCTGGCGCTCCGGCCCCAGGACAGCTGACTTCCCCCAACCCCGGGTCTTCTTGGGCCTCCCCGCGCCTTGCTCCTTAGGCCAGAGGGCCTTCCAGGACCCGTCTCCGCTCTTCAATTCAGCCTTGGCATCTCACCTAGGCGCACTTGCGCCCGACCTAGACTGCCTGTGTCCACCCGTGCCAGTAACCTTCGTGGCTCCAGCGTCCCAGGGCAGGGTCCAGCCCTCCTCTTCAGGCTCCAGGTCTGTCCTTACAGCCTTGTCTCTGGTGACACCCTTTCCTCTGGCCTGCATGCCTGAGTGACGGAGCGCTGGGCAGGATCGCCCCTGTGTCCAGAGCCTAGCGCGTGGCATGGAGCAGGCCCTAGGAAAGGCTGACCAGCGGGCAGACATCCCTCTGTGCCCTCCACACTGTACCAGTCACTCAGAAACCTCAGAAAGATGAGTCTGTGCCCTGTGTACTCCACGGTACCACTGACACGTCCGCAAGCACCCAGAACGCGGAGGTCTGTGTATGGTCCCAAACACCAAAGGGCCATGAACCACCTTGGAAAGGGCCCTGCTCCTGGGAGAGGAACAGGTGGTGGTCAGGGTTCCTCTGTAGCCCGTCAGCCCCTCCCTGAGGGTCCAGGCTGCTGGATGGAGCTGGGAGCAAAGAGGGAGGAGGCCAGGCAGAAGCCACTGTCCTCGAAAGCCCCTCGTCTTCAGGGCTGTGGTGTGTGTGCACGCGTGCGTGTTAGTGGCTGAGAGTGTAGACTTTCTGGTGAGACATACCCTCACCGTATGACCTTAGACCAGCTACACCGTGCGTATCTCACTCTGCCATCTGGGTAATAGTAGTGCCTGCCTCCTGGGATTTGGGGATCACAGGAGTGACGTATGAAAATCTCCTAGCACAGCATAGTAGCTGCCCCATTAATAGCAGTTTTCTGTAGTTGTGCAGCCATGAGTAAGCAGGCTGCGAGTACAGGTGTGCCTGGGGGAAGGGCCACCCAGGGATTCTTGAATTCCTGTGCTCAGGGCACCGGCTGCTAACACCATCCCTTCTGCGAGCAGGGTTTGGACAGCAGAAGCCGTAGGTGACAGGAGACCCTAGGCAGGAGCCCAGAGGCCCAGGCTCTGGGTCCAGCTCTGCTTCTGACTCCCTATGTGGCCCTAGGGACTTGCACCCCTTCTTGGGTCTCAGCTTCCCCATCTGTAACCAGAGAAGGGTTGGATTCTCTGACCCCCAGGAGAGTGTTCAAGCTCTGACATGTTCATGTTCATGAGGCCTGTAAGAGGCCCACTAAGTGGTGAAGGGGCTCCTGTCTGTCACCACCCCACTAAGCCAGGCAAGTGTCAGGAAGCTGCAGAGAAATGCCACGTGGGGTGAAGTGATCAAAATGAGCCCTCTCTCCTTGGCCATTGGGTCCTACCTTTGCCTGTAGGACTCGTGCTCACAGACGGTGGCAGCTGCCCCCCCTCACATCACGATCCCCTCTGCTCTCCAGGCAAGCACCCATTTGAGACCAGGCTGATCCGAGGCTCCCCCGGAGGCTCTCCCGTCGGGCCTGCTCCTCCCTGTCACCCTGCTGCAAACACCTGGCAGCAGGCCCTATCTGCTGGTATCTAGACCAAGGTGGTGTTTGTAAGTGCCCTGCCTGCTCTGACCTCCTCCACGCCCAAACCGCCCCACACACAGCCATAATTAGGTCACACATACATACTCCTGCCCTGCAAAGCTTCCCGGTGCCTCCCTATCCCCCAGACTACAGCTCACAAGGGGCCCTTCAGGAGGCACCATCGATGGGGGCCTAGGAACGTAGGGTGCTGGGAGACGCCCGCATTGTTCAGAGATCCATGTGTGCCTGTTTAGGTGTCTGGAATCTACTTTAAACAGCTCGGCAAAGGGAGAGAGTGTGAGTCAGGGAGAGCGTGCCAAAGTGCGTGCAGCAGAATCTCGACAGTCGTTAAACATGGGTGACGGGTGTGAGGTACATTGTGTTTTTCCCTCCACTTCGTATATTTGAACTATTCTATATTAAAATTTATTTCCTTTATGTTTAAAGGAAAAATAGAAGGCCATTTCAGGAGAAAAATCTGTACAGATTCATGTTTGCGTAAAGGAATTCTTGAAGGGTCCACAGACTACTAATAAAGCAATGACTAGAGGCAGGAATAAAAGCTGTGTAGATAAGAGACAGAATCTGGAATGCTACTTTGCAATATTCTTAAAAATGAACCTTATTTTTAGAACCATTTTTAGATTTACAGAAAAACTGCAAAGATGATACAGAGTTCCAATATTACCTGTCCCTGCCCTGTTCCCTATTACTGACATGGTATATTCATTACAACTAAAGAACACCGAATCATTGTCATTGTGTTGGCCAAAAAGTCCAATACACTTTTTCTGTAAAATAAAAAACACATTTTTCATTTCCACCAGTAACTTTATTGATCTGGATATTCTGATTATGTCGGCTCTCTCCTTCCAGCAGGGAGAGGCCAGGGGCGCTGCTGAACACCTTCCCATGCATGAGACTGCCCCACAGCAAAGGATTATTTGGCCGAAATGTCAATAGTATCAAAAAACTTCACAAACCACTTCTGACATGTTCAATCAGTAGCAGAACCTTCTCCCTACACTGCACAACTTTTTAAATGCATTTCAGTTGCGTTTTTACCTTTCTCGAAATAATAAAGCACAATACACCAAAAATGTTGCATGCTTTCTTCCACCTTCAATATTAAAATGGCTGCACAAAAATTCACCAATAACTTTTTTTAAATGCGTGCTGCTGTGACAGCTGTCACAATACAGTCTAACAAAATGGTTTCCAAGAAATTAAAGACAACTAAGCCCTGCTGGAGCCATGGAAAAGAAACATAATGGACTTTGGGGCCAGCCCAATATGAAGTCCAGTTGACAGTTTACTCAGACTTCCATACCTTTCCTCAGTGTCCTTTGTTCCCGGGCCCCACCTGGGATGTGACAGTACATTCGGCGGCCGGGCCCCTTCCGCTCCTCTGGGCCGTACCAGCGTCCCAGGTTTTCCCTGGTTTCTCCGACCCGGACAGCTCTGAGGAGGACTCCAGGCGTTTTGTACAACGTTCCTCACTTGAGACTTATCCCATGGTTTTGTCGGGATTAAGGCGGTGGGTTGTTCAGTTTCATTTCGTTTTTGGGATACAACAGAGAAAAACGCTACCTTCATCACATCCCACGAAGGGTGCACTCAACCTGATGTATCGCCGTTGCTGTTGACCATGATCACCTGGTCATTCTTACCTCCTACGTTTGATTTTGAACCGGGTGAATATACTATCTGAAGTTAAAACATAAAAAACGTAAGAACTATGTTAATTTTCTAGGGCTGCCAAAACACAAGAGATTAAAGACTGGGCAGCTTCAACAACAGAGTTTATTTTCTCAGAACTCTGGAGGCTGGAAGTCCCAGGACAAGGTGCCAGCAGTCCTGGGTTCCTCTGCGGCCTCTCTCCTTGGTTTGAGGGTGGTCGCCCTCTTGCAGGTTCTTCATGGGGTCTTTTCTCCACACGCACCTCCCTTGTGTCCATCTCTCTTTATAAGAACACCAGGCACACTGGCGTAAGGCACACCTGTAAGACCTTTGTCCAACCTCAGTTACCTCTTTAGAGGTCCTACTTCCAAATGCAGTCACTTTCGGAGGTACAGTAGGGGGTTAGGACTTCCACATATGGATCTTGGAGGGGACACAATTCAGTCCCTAACAAGACCCTTTTTAGCGGGGGACCCAATCTACCTTTTCAAGTTCATCACCCATGCCCCCAGCACCCCACACCTAGATCTTATACCCCAGTCATCCAAAACCCTGGCCACTCCCTCGTCCTTGTCACTCTCCTCCCTGTGCCTGAAAGAGCACTGTCATCTTCCTCAAGAAGTACTACCCTGTTCTTGTCCCAATTCACATCCTTCCTCTTCTTTAAGGGTATCCCAGATCCCCCCAGGACTCATCTCTACTGCCTTCTTCCAGGCTGAGTCCTGGGTCACTTGTCACAACCTGCCACCTTAGACCTGGCAACACACCTGTTCCCCTAGGGGCCAGCAAGCCTGCTCAGGGAACAAGTGTTGACTGAGTTTCTCCTGTGTCTCCGGCACCGGCCCAGGCCCTGGCCACACGACTTCAAACAACGCAGACAAGGTCCCTGTGCTCTTGGAGCTTGCATTCTGGTCAGGGAAAAAGGTGATAAAACACAAAGAAAGTAACTTCAGACAGTGGTGTGTGTACTAAAAAAATAATAGAGCCATACAATATGACAGAGACAGCTGCTTTTGCCAAAGGGTAACATTGGAGTTGGAACCGCATACCTAGCAGCCAGGTGCACCCATGCTTGTGTGTTGGGGGAGGGGGAGGGACAGTGGGCTCACAGGCAGGGCAGGGAGAGAGTGCAGGGAAGCGAGGCCTGGGCTGGGTGTGTGCGCACCACGATCGGTCTGGGTTTTACTTTGGCGGTTTTCCAGGGGAGTG